CCCTCGCCTACCTTGGTGCTTAGGCAGCTTGTGGTTGGACGCAGGGGCCAAGATCCATTACTAGTGTCTAAGCCTAGGGACTGGCCCTTGGCTCTGGACGACTGGTCGGCTCGGTAGCAACATATTCATTCATTTGCTCCGAGTGCTCGGGGACTTTGGCTTAGGGACCAGCCTAGTTTCTGGGTATTTCTCATGTTTCTTCTGGCTGTCCTGCCCTAGCACCTTGAGCACCGGCAGTCGTGGCACTTGGCTCGGCGTCCTGTTGAGCATCGCCGATGTCGATTGGGTGAAGTTCCTCGGGTACTAGGTGTGGAGGTATAACCCCAGATACCCACAGTAATGAACATGGGCTGCACTGCCAGGGGAGGTCTAGCCCATAAGATCAAGGCCTACGGTGCTCGGTTCTGGTCGACGTGTACCGCAAGGCAATCAGAAGACATCTTAGCGATGAAGTAAGATCTGTTCGGATATGATAGATATTGTATTCCTTGTAAATACTTACGATATAGCCGAATAGATTTAGACTTAAACCGACCTGTAACCCTACCCTCCAGACTATATAAGGCGGCTAGGGACCTCCCTCGAATGCATCTCATATTTAATACAATCCACCGAAGACACATAACGTAGGGTATTACGTCGATCAGACGGCCTGAACCTGTCTAAATCGCGTGTCTCTATGCTTGTGTCGTCATCCGGCTCCTATTACGCGCACTTCCACCGATTCATCTACAACCGTGAGCATACCCCTCGGTAGACTGCCGATCAGATTTCATCGACACCACCGGAGACGAGACAGGCGGGCGGGGTGGGAGAGTCACGGTGATGCCCCGGTGAAGCCTGGTTAGCGCAGCGGTGGGGATAGAGGCGGATCCGATGGTGGAGAGCCACCGGAGATGAGGCAGGCGGGCAGAGTAGGGGAGTCACAGTGATGCCCCGATGAAGCCGAGTTAGCGCAGCAGTGGGGTTGGATCTGGTGGTGGGAGACGCGGCATGCAAGCAGGGCGGGGGCGTTTCACGGAAACGCCATGAACCGACCCGAGGTAGAACTAAGGATAAGAACTGTTGTTGGGATCTTCATCCTACTTTTTGAAAAAAAATCCAAGTGTTGAACCGCTTAAAACACTCGATCCTGGGTATATTTTATACGTGACGATGTGGTATATATATGCGGTAGTCCGTATTCGGCGCACATCTGAACTCCAGGTTATGCGCATTCCGCGTGCGCCGCTGTGAATCAGTTCTGGTTGTATAATAGTATCTTTAATAAAAGGAAATTAAAGGTCGCGGAGGCTGACGAACTCTAGCCCCCACGCCCTGCCGGCGTTTTCCTTCCACCGATCGCGCGTATCCACTGCCGCCGACGCGAAAGCAGGGAACCCTTCCGATCGGACTAAATCCGGTGGCATCGGTCGAGGCGTCTGCTGCGATCCGGTGAGTTCGATCGCGGCTATGTTACATGTGCGATTTGGTGGGAGTTGGGGGCCGGTCGGCCCGATCGATCAAGGTATTGCCGCCACGCGCTAGCGCGCTGAACCCGCTGGCTCACGCACGCCACCTCCATCTCAGCCGCCGAACTCCTCAGTCCGCCCTCCCGCCGGGGGATCAGGAGAGATGTCGGCCCAGTTAGGGTCATGATCTACCGCGTTTTCCCGGGTTCCTTTGGGTTTCGTTCGATCCGATCTGGTCTGAGGACGTAATTACTCGAGTCATTGCCCAGTTAATTGATCCGCTGCAGGCAGTTGGCACCTGGCCACAAAGTGCTCAGTTTCTGTGGGGGCCTGAATTTTGCGCGAGACGGAATGGATTGGCCTGTGTGGAGATCGGTTTTACGAGTTTAGATTGGATGTGAATTGGAGACCCTTTGACGAAAGCCTTGTATCTTGATGATTAGCAAACTACCTGCCTGGTTAAGGAGCTGTTTGAACTTTGAAGTGCCTTGGATTCTACCTAAGCTAGCTGGTACCTTCTTTTGTTATATAGGTATGGAGTTTGTGCGTTCTTGATACTATCATGATTGACAACAGAAATGAATCACATTTATTGGACTTTGATTTAGGGCATGTTTGGATCCTATGGTCTAAAGTTTTGTTGGCTAAAACTTTAGACCATTTGAGTTTACTTGTGTAGTTGGCTAAACTTTAGACATCCTGTTTGAAGTCTCAAAAGCTAAATAAAGTGGTATAAAGTCTAGTGGCTAAACTTTAGACAAGGGATCCAACCAGGGCCTCATACAATTGAGAATTTAAAATTTTCAGCTGCGGTAAGGCATTTTGTCATATTTGTAGATTTCACACAATTGGTCTTTGAATGAATGAGATACTTAATGATCCATCTTATATTCCTGGGAAGTATAAAAGCCTGATTGTTTCCATCCGTACAATGCAATGTATTTAGTTTCTTTGGCAGTGTTAGTTTCATCGACATGTCCACAGTATACTACTGCTCCAGTTCTTTTTCTGGTGTCCACTTTTTTGTTTGTGTGGCAATGACTTAAATAAAATTTGTTTCTCTAGATGGACATCAAGGATAGCCTCTCTAGATTCAAGCAACAACAGGAGAGGTGCCAGTCATCTTTGACTAGCATAGCTGCAAATCAAGCTTCGGCCTCGAAACCAAAGCACAGGGCCCAACCAATAAATGCTCCATCTGTTCCTGCAAGATCATCACAATCTATTAAATTTTCGAATGATACTGAAAGGCTTCAGCATATTAATTCGATTAGGAAATCTCCTGTTGGAGCACAGATGAAACTTGTCATCGAACTGCTTTACAAGGTACTCTTTATTAAGCTACAACCCTCCTGTATTTTCTTTTTAGTACTAGTGTGTAATGTTGTCAGGGAATGATTTATTCTCTGGCCTCAAAAAAATTAACTGATTTTGGAAATCAACACTCTAGTTGTCTATTGAAAAATTAAGTATCGTTGAAGTGTTGAACTATCATTGTTTATAGAAGCCCTGGCTCAGTGGATATCCTATTTCTAAGTCTTCAGCTTATAGAACACTTAGGCAAGTCTCAATGCTTAGTTTCACTACACGGTTTCCAAAAAGCCACATCAGCTTTAGTGAGATGAAATAATGAATGAAACTAGCCTTCACAGTGCAACGATTTCATTGCACCAATTCCAAAATTAAGCAAAGCATTTAATTGCTGTTGAATGAAGGATCATATGCACCGATTAACTGTGTAGCCATTGACACACACAGACACACAGAGATAACATTACCATTGTTCAGATAAACGGAACAGCCTCAGATAAACGGAGCACCATTGTTCAGATAACATACCATTCTTCAGATAAACTAATATAGATATAGCCTTCAGCCTTGCACACGGCCAGACAAACGGAACAACAACATTCAACCTTGTTCAGAGATAACTAGAGCATACGACTGGAACTTAGATAGTAAACTAAGATATATAGATAAAAAAAAGTTCAGATAGCCATCAGCCTTGCACACGGCCTCTCACTGGTTTTTCTCTGCACTCCATATGTTCAGTACTGCAGGATTAGATTGCCTTCAGCCTTGGTTTCAGATTTGCCTTCAGCCTTGGTTTCAGCCTGCAGAAAAAAAAAAAAATGTTCAGCATGAGCTCTCAGGCTTCACAAAAAAACAGTGCAGGATCAGATCACAGATGAAGTAGTTAAATTCTTAAGCTTTATAACTAACTTGAAACATCCTTGCTTCCTTTTCCTCCATTGCTGCCTTCAAATTTGTGTTTGATATCTTAAGATGTGCTTCCGTAACCTTTTCGCACTCCACCTTTCGATCTTGCTGCACCTTGATAATTTTTTCAATATTGTCACCAAGGATGACAATTACGTCCATAATGTTATCCTTCTTGCGCTTTCCACTGCGCTCAGCCTTTGCTGCTTCTCTACCAATAGGCCGTGACTGTTCTTCTGGAACATCAAGTATCTCATTCTTGTCTTTCTCTTTTTCCTCAAACAGTGCACATCATTTGGGCTCCTCTTTTAATATCTTCCACCAATGCACCAACTGAAAACGCTTTCCAAACCTGGTTTCATATACCTTTTGTGCCTCTTCCTCTAACATGTCATCCGAGTATCCGCTTGTATGCATTTGAGCTATCTGAGTCCAAGCGTCATTGAAATCAGTGATCGAGGACTTGACGCGTGACCAGTGAATCTTCAATTGGTTTATTTCTCTTCTAGGCTTCCCATTCCCTTTCCTGTTAAACTCCTTAGTGATTTCTTTCCAAAATGTATCAAATTTCTTGTCGTTACCCCTAATTGGGTCTTTTGAAACATTCAACCAAGCACTGGCCTACAAAATACGAAATAAAAAAAGATGAACAAATCAAGTATTGTACCAAACACTGGCCTACAAAAAGGAAAAAAAAGTGATCAGTGATTACCAGTCTTGTTTCCTCGTCATGAGTCCAAAATCTTTTCTTTCCTCCCCTTTTTGCCTCATTGGTTTCCTCTTTGTCAATGTCAATATGCACCGTATTGTTTATTGAAGAGCCTTGTTTCATAGGTTGGGAAGTTCCTGTTCCATACGCATTTGGTGGTGGTGGTGGAGACATTGGATTGAAGGTCATAGTGTGACCAACCAAATGAAAATTTTCTCCTTGGACTTGTTGTTGATTAATCATATTTAGAAAACCACCTGGCGGATAGATCCTGAACATGTGTTGGACTGTTGGTCAGGATACAGTTTTGACTACAAAATGCATGGAGATTTCCATATATTTCTCTTGTCCTTGGATGGCTCTTGTCGCCAACAATGAAAGTACTGCTACTTGGTTATGTATTAGGTACAGAATTCAGAAAAAATGTTTGCTTGGCCTAGTCACAATAAAGAAAGATTGGGCATTGTTGGTTTGCAGATGGAAAGAATGAACTAGTTGCACAGATAAATAAAGAAAGATTGGTACAAAATTCAGAAAGAATGAACTAGTTGCACAGATTGAAATCAAATGGTTACCATGAATTTGGGCATTGTTGGTTTGCAGATGCCAAATTTGGGGGAATGGCGCCCCATCCTGCTCCTTGCGGTGTCCATGGCAGCACAATGGATGTCGGCGCAGTAGAGGAGGAGCTAGGCACAGCAGGGCCGACAGTCGACGCAGCAGGGGTGGGGGTCGTCGCGGCTGGCGTTGCAGTCGGCGCAGCTGGGGACGAAATCAGCGGCGCCGGCGGCGGAACCAGTGGTGGCGCAGGCACGGCGGCCTTCTTCATGCCGAGCCGATGTTGGCGAGCGTTCCCTCCTCTACCGGGAAGGCGTCGCCCGGATTCCTTTGCCGGCGGCGGATCCGTGGCGGCAAGCTTTGCCGGCGGCGGATCCATGGCGGCTCGCTGGCACTAAACCCTAGGGATGGCGGACGGCGGACAGGGTGGGTTTGCGCGCGCGGACGGGGTGGGAGCTGGATGGTACAAGGAGGGAAGAATCCTCGGCAGCGCGGGAGGATGGGGACGATGGTGGCCAGCTCCGCGCGCGCACGGGATCAGGGATGATGAAACAATCTTCCTCAACGCTGGTTTCACGCGAATACCAAGACTTTGGAAACAGTGCGACCTCGTTTCACCGAGATGAAACTTTCTCCTTCTCTCTCCTCCCCATTTCATGTAAAAATTCCTTTACTACTGATGTGTCACCACATTAAATGTGCATGACATCCCTGTGAAACTCCCATTGAGTCTGGCCTTATCCGTATCATGTGCCACCCCCTTCCCAATTTGTGTACTGTCTGAATGCCTTCCCTCACATGTAAGACGCTCAGTCTTGCTATGTTGTACCTTATGTGTGTTAGCCCATGATAAACAGAATGTCAAGGATAGATCGTACACTAAGTTGTATCTGGTCAAAGTGAACTGGCTATTCTGGCTGGCATGTGTGGATGCTACATATCAGTTATCGAATATTTGAACCATTTCACTGAGTAGAATTAGATACTTTAAAACTATGAAAAACTCCGGTGACGATTTTCTGTTCTGGCCCGATTTTCGTCATTTAAGCAATCATTGTAGAAGTTTCTTATATCTTCATAAAGGATAGCACAGTAAGTATCACATTAAACTTTCATTACAGATTACAATGCTGCATCTAGTTCATGAATTGATATTATAATTTCTTTTGCGTTTCCAGACAAGACAAGCTTTTACTGCAGAGCAAATAAATGAAACAACTTATGTTGATATTCATGGTAACAAGGCGGTCTCTGACAGCTTGAGGAACAACCCCAAAGTACAGTATGATGGGAGACGTTTTTCTTACAAGGTAAAGGAATTATTACTCTGTAGTTGTTCATAATTGACTTGAACTGCTAATATTAGCATGGGAATTTGTCAGTGAAATGTGTGAATGATTCACTTGGCATTCTCTGGTAACCTCAGCTGCTTAAGTAGTATCTAATACGCCTTCCTTTAATTTACTAACCTGGAAACTGTGGATTTTCACATGTTATGACTTCATTGCTTGTGCCGGTCATTTATCTTCCTCTCGACTCAGTTTTCTTTCAGTTGTCATAATTCGGTGGTTCATGATAGTTGTGTATCAAATACTGTGGTAAACTATAGCTTTCATGGCCAATAAACTTTTATAATGATTAAAATGCACTGGAATGCTGTTCTAAGGAAAAAGTAGATAAGGATTTCCTGATCATTACAGTAGTTGTGTGCTTATTCTAACAGCCTTCATTGTTTTGTCTTCTTGTTGCAGTTAACTATTCTGATTTCTGATGTCTTATGTGTTAATTCACTGTTTGCATATGTGCAGTCCAAGCATGATCTTAAGGGAAAAGATCAACTACTTGTTCTGATAAGAAAATTCGCAGAGGGTCTTGCTGTCATGGAAATCAAGGATGCATACCCAGCTGTAATGGAAGATCTGCAGGTGATGCTAATTCTCATTATCTGATACTTTAACATGTTACGTTAAACATCACGTGATGCTTACACTGTTCTAAAAGGTACCCAATTAGTTAATAACAAAAATGCTAAAGAATAACAGTATGTATGATACATACTGTATAACACACAAAGGTATACTGCAATGTGTACTTGAGTTTTTCTGTCTGTCAGCCTATATATTTTCTGTTTAAATTGGTACTGCTTAATGAGTCCCATGATATAGTTGACCCTTTTTGTGTGTGTTCTCTCTAGTTGCAGTGTCCATTAGCATAATAGAACTATAAGTGACCAAGCTTATTCTACTATTTATATTCAAGTACGTATGGGTTGTTATGTGGCCAGTTGGGATGGAGATGAGAGGACGTGCTACAGTACCATGGAACTACGATGTCCGCGGGTACTGTTCACGGTGGCGGCGGCTAGGGCTGCAAGGGCGCTGGGGAGGCCGGCCGTGGGGCTTCGCCCACGGCCAGGCAAGAGGGAAGGGATTTCCTTCTTAATTCTTGCTTGATTCTAGATGGATACATCTCCTCTTATTATATAGAGAGGTCGGACTTGGCCCCTAAGCAAGCGACTAATTAACCCTAATGGGCTAAGGCCCAATAGGCCCTTGACTCCTCTAACACTACACCCCACTTGAACATGCAACTCAGTCCTCGAGCTGCAATCTAACGATGACACTAACGATGCCTCCACTAGACACAAACCTAACACCTAAAAATAAGTCTTTTATATCTCGGCTTATTTTATTGACATGAAGAAGACTACTAGATTGTTATGTGGCCAGTTGGGATGGAGATGAGAGGGCGTGATACAGTACCGTGGAGCTACCATGTCCGCGGATACTGTTCACAGCGGCGGCGGCTAGGGCTGCAAGGGCGCTGGGGGAGGCCGGCCGCGGGGCTTCGTCCACGGCTGGGCAAGAGGGAAGGGATTTCCTTCTTAATTCTTGCTTGATTCTTGATTGATACATCTCCTCTCATTATATAGAGAGGTCTGACTTGGCCCCTAAGCAAGCGACTAATTAACCCTAATGGGCTAAGGCACAATAGGCCCTTGACTCCTCTAACATGGGTAATCTTGAGTACTGCCATGCTGTAGGCACTGAAGGCCGCAGGTGAAGTTTGGCTGTTATCAAACATGGACTCACAGGAGGACATTGTGTACCCTAATGATCCTAAAACGAAGACCAAGGTTGATGATGACCTGAAACTTCTCTTCCGGGAGACTGAGTTACCACGTGACATGGTCGACGTAGAAAAGGAGCTTCAGAAGAATGGCATCAAGCCCATGACAAACACTGCGAAACGATGTGCAGCTGCCCAGATCGACGGGGTAAAATCCAAGTCTAAACCCAAGAAGAAAGATCTTAAGATCACAAAACGGAGCAGACTTACGAATGGGCATCTGCCAGAACTGTTCCAGGACATCAACGAATGATTGGGTTTCCACTGACCAAAGCAAGAGTGGTTCATTCTACTACTGATTATGCGATATTATTATGTATTATGTATACATGCAAGATGGAACTGTTCTGTGTGCGGTTTATAGCCTCCTGTAAGCTGTGCAAAAGTTTTGGTAAGGGTCCAGACTCTGGTCCTTTCCCTTGCATAAAGATGATTTCATATGACATACCTGTTTCAAGTCTTTATACCTCAGCAGAAAGGATTCTTCATGCTGCCATATTTTACTTCTCACAATGCCACCTCTATCATGTCTGTGATCCTGACTCACAACCCATGCTCATATGAGTTAAAACAGCACGCATGTAGCCATGGTGGTTTGCTTTCAAGATGCAATAGAACAGATGACACGAGCATTGCATAAATCTTCAAGCTGCACGTTCTATGTTCTGCTGCATCACACGAGCATATTCGCTAGTAAGATCTAATTTAATTCCTAGGCATAAGAAGTAACAAATCATGTCCAACCTCCTAGCAAAATTGTGATGAGATGTCTCTACCTGATTCACTTACATCCTTGACAATTTTTATATATGATGTTAGATAGCCATGGATTGATCACAAGTGTATGAATGTCACTGCTTGAGGTAAGTGATACACAAAGGGCCTATTCATCTTTAGATAGATTGTGCAATTGAATAGCTATATCCTGAAACTTCATATACATTTATCAAGGAAAACATTAGCCGTAACTTGATAATTGCGCTATATAGACAACAAGGAAAGGGAAGCCTACAAACATCCTCCTTAAATAAAGCTTTAAAGATCACAAAAAAATCACTCACCATTGGTAATGAGGTCTAGTATCGCACTGAAAGAACACTATTTGGAGGAATCTCTAGGAATGCAAGCTTACAATTCTTTATTGCAAATGCAGGCTCACAATTCTTTACCACAAAAATAGAGTGCTCGAGAAACTGGGACATTGTCAAGGTAGGAAAAGAACACAAAGATATTATTCCATTACATCTTCATCGCCATCACCTCAATGATGCCATCAGGAAACCAAACCCTTGTAATGAAAAAGAGATACACACAAAAAAAAACTAAATCTATGAAGGGCCAGGTTCCGACTCCTCTGATCGCCAACAAGGTTGCTAGGAGGGGGACAAGGTGGGTGGAGAGCACCAGAAAATATGGTGAGGCTGTGAATGGAGATAGGCGACAAACATAACCTATAATAAAAAAAATACGTTCATGTGCCATACTTATATTGGAATCGTATAAATTAGAGCAAATGCAGTACCCGGGCTTCGGAACTCAAAGCGATTGTATTGATTATAGAATTGAAAGAGTGGGAGGAGCATTTACCTGGGCTTTAGGTGCAATCCGAGCAACTCAATCCTAGTTCAAGCATGTTCGAGCAAAGCGATGTTTACGAGGTTTAGAGGTTCGATCGGCTCGTGCTGAGTGGAAAATCCCTTATCCATAGATGGAGCCCCGAGCACTCTGCTAGGATTCAATCGGTCAGACGTAGTGGGGCTTAGACGAGGAACTTCCACTGAGGGCCAGAACAGAATAGGAATTAAGACATCTGGCTTTTTGTTTGCTTAGATGGATATATGGTTATTTGGATGGAGTTTGAGCACTTGATCACCTTAAGCTATTGTTGGTATTTATTAACTTGTCACATGTTTAGTAGTCATCTAATATATGTCTACATCTCTTAACATTAAATTACTAGGTTGTCATCCCTAGTGATGATGCCAGAGATGTTTGTTGGTAGTACCTAGTATTACTACTAAAGTAGTTCTTTATTAATTTATGTGACTACGAAGAATATATAGATATATATGAAAGAAAGGAATCTGCAAGCGCACAGATAATACCATTGTAGCACTTCACCTGGCAGTATTCCAGATATCGTTATTTATATTTTTACCATAGGAAATGTCTGGTATGAACATGTATTGATAACTTATACTATTGATGGAGAAGTAAACCATAACCAATATTCTACTCACAACAGGGGTAAGTCAAGAGGTAAATGTATATATGAATGGTGCATAATAAATAATCATTGATCACTCAGAGTACTCCTTTCTATGGTATTAGCATGGTCAAGTAGAATATTAGAGGAATAATTCCTAAGTCATTCTTAGTTATAAGTTAAAGGATACATTGATTAGTGCAATTACACTTAGTAATCATGGCTAAGATCAACTTCATATCTACACATAAGGGATATTACTAAGAAAAATTAAGAACAGAGCTTGCCTTCTTTCGTAACTAGATCCTACTTGTCCTATATTCGGGGAGTGGACTACAAAGAACTAAACGGGAGTGGCACATCCACGATCTACCACATACCCTAGAATATGATGGAGCTCTAAGGATGATTAGGGTTCCTATCTTCTCAAATAACTTCTAGGCCAAAGCGTTAAATCCTGAGCCCTCGGATCAAACCGACTTGAATAAACAACGTAGATGCAATCTAGGAGGCGGTGGAGAACTGACATAACAATGGGGGCTGACAGGTAGACCCCAGGGGCTAATCGGCTTGCAGGTGCCGCTGGCAGCGCCTTGCCCTCCGCTTTGGTGTGGAGTCCTCTCGAGTCTTCTGGAACCTTTTGGGGCTGTTTTCGTTGTGGATAAGGGTGATTAAATCTGACATCTTGGTCCACCTTGATGGTTTTTTGGATAAACCCTGCAGAAAATATAGATTCACCAAAACTCGTGGAATTTGTTAGTTTAAACCCCTAGACCTTCGTTGGTGATTATATTTATGCCCTTATGCATGTTATATTGATGATTTATAATGGTTCTTAACTACCATCAACAAACTCTCCCAAGCTTAACCTTTGCTAGTCCCTTAGCAAAGCTAAACTTAGTAAATGGATCAGGAGTTGTGTCGATGCTTTCACTCCTCAAAAGTACACATGCGTTCAATCAAGAATTCTCCTTCGTATTAAAATGAACTGATCTAACTTTCAAACTTACCCATATTACCTTCAACCATGGGGCTTCTTAGCCTTCACTTGGGTCTTGAGCAATTGAAAGACAGAACGATCAAGTCAAGCACTATGTCTCAAGTTCTTTGCTCAACCATTATTCTAGAGTTTTTATAAGTTTTCAAAATAAAACTTAGAGCTTCCATTGTATGACACTCTCAAGTCTCTCAATATATGTGGTATTTGTGGATCCTCACCAAGGCAATAATGATGTTATGCCTTTCTCTTCCTACAACTAAGGCTTATGTGGAACTCATAGGAGTGGAAAAAGCATGAAAGAACATACTTGCAATACATATATTGTAAAGTCAAACCTCGAATTCAAAGAGAGTTGAGTCATACAATCAAATCAAGATGTGCATGTGTGTGGATGTATGGTGGATATATATGATGGCTAACCTAATTCTACTTTGCTCCTTGAAAACATATATCTCTTTTAAACCTTGGAAATAACTTTGCAAGAAAACATGGGCTATCTTATTCATCTCTTTTTTAGGCGAGCATCTAAGTACCCATTGTTTTAAATATCTCGGACACTTATCCATTTTTTTCTTTTCTCTCTTTTTTCTTATTTTTTATGAATAACTTTTGCATAGCTCAATGCTTCTTTTCTGCAACAGAACTTTTGAGAGATAGCAATAAGAACTTGAAGCATTTATTTGGTGGATATCCTATCAAGAATATTTTTGATGTTTACTCCTAGTGTAGGAGTAAAACATTTTTGGATGGATCTAGATGGAATGGCATGTTTTTTGTGCTTACCCCTAGTGTAGGAGCAGTGCATATATGGGTGGTGTGTATGTGATCTTGATTTTAAGAGCATGACAAGCCTCTCATAAGGGTCAACAAAGTTCGACTAAACTCAATGCAAAATAAGCAGCATATATGTGAAAGTTTTTCTAGCCTAAATAACATATATGACTCTGGTTGGAATTTAAGCTTTGTCATACATGAACTCATCATGTAACATTTTTATGTTTTTCAAAAGATAAATCTCCAGAACTTTAGTATCACTTGGAATAGGATAAACAGCAGCTTAGACCTTCTCATATCATATTCATCAATTACCTAGACTTAGATCAAGCATATGCTACCGACGAGTTTTAAGTTCAGAGTAAATTCTTATATCAAAACAGTCTTATCAAAAACTCAGGAGAATTCAAGGCTGAAAACTAGTTACTTGAAAGAAATTATTACAGAGCAACTATTCATCATTTCCCTTGTAAGAGATTATCATTAGAGTCCATTTATTTATCTCTTAAAAATCAAACTTTAAAGAAATCTAGACACATACTTTTTATTTTATTTTCTCATTTTTAGATCACACCTTACTAATATAGAAATCTACTATAAAGATAAAAAAAATTAGTAGTGAAACCAAAGGAAAAGAAATACTTAGCTATATACATGGGGGGTCCTTTTCCCCCAAGCTGGATGTTGGCGTGGTCAAATGTTGAAGTTGAGTGATCCTTCTCAGAGCAGATTTGCCAGTAGATGCCCTTCTCGTCCATAAATGGAGCGAGATGAAGATGACCAGGTGAACTTGCTCTTGATCATATCATCCTGTAAAATACCATCAAGAATACCAAAACTCGTGGAATGGATTAGGATAATGGGTTAGTGGTCAGACATTCGGAGATTAGTTGTTCTTGAGGTTTAGAAATATTTTTGTATTGGTAGAATTTTAGCAGGATGTTTACCTAATATATACTTTTTTATGTATGATATGCAGACAAAAAAATATATATGCATGATATTTTTAATTTTTATGGCTCCATAGTGAATATTCCCATGGATATTTACACCATAGATTTATTCACATAGGGCTTAGGATTTATAATGCAATGATAAAACTTTTTACTTTCTTTTCTAAGTGTAAAGCAAATGCAGAAAAGTAAATATGCTAAAGTAATTCATGCAATGAAAAAAAATATGGATAACTACCGATGTTACCTCCCGATGAGGATTCGGATTTTTAAGTCCTCCAAACAAGACTTTACTGGAGAAGAGTCATTTATTCTTCAGA